TTTCACCATGTTGACCAGGATGGTCTCGATCTCTTGACCTCGTGATCCACCCGCCTCGGCCTCCCAAAGTTCTGGGATTACAGGCTTGAGCCACGGCGCCCGGCCTGAAAATATATTTTTGATATAACTTATATCTTCCTAATTACCAAATCAGTTCTCTTTTCTGTCATTTAATGTATATAATATGGTTAACTTTTCTAAAACTGTTTCCTGCCTTGGTCTTTCACAGTTTTGCACTGTACTGCCCTACCCTGGTTCTCTTCTTCTTCTCCTCCTCCTCCTCCTCCTCCACCTCCTCCTTCTCCTCCTCCTCCTTCTTCTTCATGTATTACGGAACGCTTCATGAATTTGCATGGCATGTTTGTGCAGGGGCCATGCTAATCTTCTCTGTATCATTCCAGTTGTAGTACATGTGCTGCTGAAGCGAATACAACCCCTGGTTCTCTTCTGATCTCCCTGACCACTCCTCCTCTAGCTTTCTATATGTGACCTCTAAGACATGACCTTATCCCTCTGCTTTTTTTTAAGGATGTTCCCTTGTAGAATTTGATGATTACTCCTGTGACTGAAGAGTCTCACAATGTGTATGTCTCTTGAGCATTGTTGGAACCATACTCAGTACTGTTTTTTACAAATATACACTCAACACCAGTTTTGCAGTAAATCCTCACTTATCTTCATCCAGAGGTTCTTAGAAACTACAATTTTAAACAAAATCACATGTAATAAAACCAGTTTTATCGTAGACAAATTGATATAAATCAGAGTTAAGTTCCTATGGCACATTTTTGGTCACAAAAACATCACCAAACTTCAAAATAAAGATGCAAATACTAGTAATAGTAAACATTGAAATAAATGTGAGCTATATATACATTTAAGAGAGATTAATGACAAGTAAGACATTTCTTTATTCATTTATTCCAGTTCAGGGTCACAGGTGGCATCATCTCAGGGTAAAAGGTGAGGACTAGTTCTCAGCAGGACACCAATCTGTCACAGTGTGCTCTCACACACACCCACAGTCACTTAGACTGGGACAGTTTAGACACATCAATTCACCTAACATGCATATCTTTGGGATGTGAGAGGAAACTGGAATACCTGGAGAAAACCCATGCAGACATGGGGAGAACATGCAAACTCCATATACACAGTGGTCTGGGCCAGTAATCGATTTTTTTCTCTCAGCCATGTCATAATGAAACAATGCTGTTAAAGCACCTGCTCTACTTCATGCCTTCCCCATTTCTACTAGTGATAACATTACCGAGCATTCCTGATGCCAACATGCAGTGCCTTAGCAAAGCTGACTCTTAGTTTTTCAATATCTTTTTTTTTACTTATCTTTTTTTTTAAGGCGGGGTTTCACCATGTTGGTCAGACTAGTCTTGAATTCCCAACCTCAGATAATCGACCCACCTTGGCCTCCAAAGTGCTTGGATTACAGGCGTGATTTTTATGTTTATTAAAATATCTTAAGTTTTTAAATATCTTAAGTGGCTTGATAGCCATAAGTGCTGCTCACCAGGTTGAGTTCTCTTTCCTTACAGGCACATGAAATAAGTTATTCCCACCCTCTCAACGTCAGGCAGGCATATCACGTGCCTGGCTTTGTCTAATGAAATGTAAGTGGTATGTCACTTCTTGGCAAAACTATGAAAGAGCTGGGGCGCAATTCTCAATGTTCTCTCTTCTCTTGCCGTGGTAATTGTAGATGACTATGTCAACTTTGAGGGACTGTAAAATCAAAGCAGCATGAAACGCTGAGTTAACACATGGAAGACAGGTACCTGGAAAGTCACACAGACTTGTAGTGGACTTCCAATAAGCAAGAGATAAACACTTGTTATCTAAAACACTGTAATGTTTTGGCTTTTTAGTGTGTAAACTGGTTTGTTCTGAATGATGACAACAGTCGTGCTGCTGAGATTCTAGTTAACACTGTCATTTCAGGATCATTATTAATATTTTGGCATAAATCTTCCCAGGCACACATTGTTGAATTAAATTGAAAGAAATGTTTACGGACCAGTAACTGTTCTAAGCACTTAGAATATAGTTGTGAACAAAACCTTTAAAAATTCCTGCCCTCATGAATCTGACATTCTACTGGTAAAGACGGATGAAGGAGTGGATAATAAACATAAATAATAAGTAAATTAGACACTATGTTAGTAGAAAATGATATGAAGAATTGTAAAACTGGATAAAAGAATGAGATTAAGATTAGGAATTAGGTTAGATTAAGAGTTAAATTTTGAACAGGTTTTATTATATATTAAGAGCTGTGTTAAAACCAACGTTTGGCTAAATGAGATTACCAAGTATCAATCAATATTGAGCTAAAGCCAGTTATCACCATCACAAAGTGAATTTCTGAGATTAAAAACCCAGAATTTTATCCAATGATGTATTATCAAATTGTATATTAATAGATTCCAGATGGTTTTACAAAGTTTGACATTATGAGGCCGGGCGCAATGGCTCACGCCTATAATCCCAGCACTTTGGGAGGCCGAGGCAGGTGGATTGCTTGAGGTCAGGAGTTCGAGACCAGCCTGGCCAACATGGTGAAACCCCATCTTTAAAAAAAAAAAAAAAAAAGAAAGAAAGTTTGACATTATGGCGTAGGACACATAAATTTTCAGTGCTGACAATTATTACTGACAGTGTGATGCAAATTTGTGGTGTTAAAAAGATATTCAGGCCAAGAGAAGTGGCTCACACCTGTCATCCCAAGGCTTTGGGAGGCCAAGGCAAGAGAATCACTTGAGGTCAGGAGTTGCAGACCATCTCTACCAAAAAAAAAAAACAAAGTAAAAATTAGCCTGGCATACAGGTGTGTGACTGTGGTCCTAGGTACTTGAGAGACTGAGAGGAGGATGCTTGAGTCCAGAAGTTTGAGGCTGCAGTGAGTTATGATTGCACCACTGCACTCCAGCCTGGGCAACCCAGTGAGACCCTGCCTCAGATAAATAAATAAGGCTGGGTGCTGTGGCTCACACCTGTAATCTCAGCACTTTGGGAGGCCGAGGTGGGCAGATCCGTTGAGGTCAGGAGTTCAAAACCAGCCTGGCCAACGTGGTGAAACCATGTCTCTACTAAAAATACAAAAAAAAATTAGCCGGCCATGGTGGTAGACACCTGTAATCCCAGCTACTTAGGAGGCTGAGACAGGAGAATCACTTGAACTTGGGATGCTGAGGTTGCAGTGAGCTGAGATCGCACCACTGCACTACAGCCTGGGTGAGAGAATAAGACTCTGTCTCAAAACAAATTTTTTTTTAATTAAAAAATAGATATATAGATAGATATTCACTTTCAACTGAAGGCTTTAGAGGAGCAAGCTTTTTTTTAAGATAGCTTATTCTAATATTCCCTTCTTTTCTTCATATCTTTATATTTTTGTATGCTTGTATGATTTGTTATGAATGTTGATTCATGTTTTAGAAGTTTTTCCTCCTTAGAAATTTTTGAGATCTCAAAATTGATTTTCTTCTCTTATTTCCTTCTCACAAGATGAGGAGATTCCCAAATGGGGCTTTTACCTGGAAGACTTCTGGCTTAAATTTACATATTTAATTAAATATGGTAATTAAAGGTGATTTTGTTCAACATAATTGAAACAAGTCTATAGATATTAAAATTATATTGACAAGATGGTGCCGAAAGCGAAGAAGGAAGCTCCTGCCCCTCCTAAAGCCGAAGCCAAAGCGAAGGCTTTAAAGGCCAAGAAGGCAGTGTTGAAAGGTGTCCACAGCCACAAAAAAAAGAAGATCCGCATGTCACCCACCCTCCGGCGGCCCAAGACACTGCGACTCCGGAGGCAGCCCAAATATCCTCGGAAGAGCGCCCCCAGGAGAAACAAACTGGACCACTATGCTATCATCAAGTTTCCGCTGACCACTGAGTCTGCCATGAAGAAGACAGAAGACAACAACACTCTTGTGTTCATTGTGGATGTTAAAGCCAACAAGCACCAGCTCAAACAGGCTGTGAAGAAGCTCTATGACATTGATGTGGCCAAGGTCAACACCCTCATTCGGCCTGATGGAGAGAAGAAGGCATATGTTCGACTGGCTCCTGATTACGATGCTTTGGATGTTGCCAAAAAAATTGGGATCATCTAAACTGAGTCCAGCTGGCTAATTCTAAATATATGTATATCTTTTCACCATAAAAAAAAATTATATTTATATTTAAGTAGGTTGGGACTGAGAAAAAAATGGTATATAGACCAACCTGTTGAAGTCAGACAAACCAAGAAAGGAGAGAATTTAAAAGAGGGAAAGGTCATAAATACACTCAATAATTATTTCTTGAATGAGATCAAGAGGTTCAGGACGTGCCACCCAAAAATATGCCATTTAGATATATGGGTTATTTTGTGCTCAAGGCAATCTAGAATCAGCAGAAGTAGAGAAAGCTTTTTACCACCCCTTCACCTGTAAAATAAATTTCCCCTTGTAAAGAAAATCTACAATTACAAAAGAAATTTTCATTAGTAAATGTATCTATCTGTGCCAAGAAGACAGCTACTCCTAGAGACAGCTTTTATTACCTGAGAGACCCACATTACAAGGCAACCTTTACCAACCATACATTTCCTTTCCTTCCCTTCTCTTTATTTGCCTTGTCTACCCCAAGAAGGCTCAAACCCCTATTCCTTTCCATAGCTCAGGATGATATATGTCTTAATCATCTGGATACCTCCTGGAGTCTCATATTTTTGTGAAATTCCCATGCATACATGTGTAATTAAATATTGTTTTCTGCCTTTCTCTATGCCCATTTAATTCTTATACCAGCCACAGAACCTGCAAGGGTAGTGGGAAGCATCTTTCTTCCCCTACTGAGTGAATGTGAATTCCTCAGCCCATGTTCTTATTAGAAAAAGTAGGCTGAGTGCAGTGGCTCACGCCTGTAATCCCAACTTTGGGAGATCGAGGCAGGTGGATCACAAGATCAGGAGTTCGAGACCAGCCTGGCCAACATGGTGAAACCACATCTCTATTAAAAATACAAAAATTAGCCAGGTGTAGTGGCGGGTGCCTGTAATCCCAGCTACTCAGGAGGCTGAGGCAGGAGAATCACTCGAACCTGGGAGGCAGAGGTTGCAGTTAGCTGAGACTGTGCCATTGCACTCCAGCCTGGGTGACTTCATCTCAAAAAAAGACTTCATCTCAAAACAAAACAAAACAAAACAAAAACCCAAACAAACAAAAAGAAAAAGGATTCTAATATTCAACAACTTCCACTCAGCTGGATCACAGAACTATAAAAATCTAGAACTGGAAAAGATCTTTGAAATATAATGACACCACCAAATTTCACTTAAACTCACAGGAAATCAATTGATATTTCATTGGGCAGAAATACTAGAATAACAGTAAATATGCATTGTGTATGTAACTATAATAGAGTCATTGATGCATGCACACTTCAGTCAATAAGAACAGACATTGGGGTTGCAGCAGAGAAAGAGGCTTAATTAGAGGGCCACTAAACAGAACCTCAAATCCATCTCCCCAATGAGTTTGGGGCTAGGATTTTTAGGAGTTTTGGGGTGAGCTGAAGTGTGAAGATCTTTGGTTAAAGAGTACAGGGTGAGGTTTGGGATGGGAATGAAGGAGCTGGATTATCGTGCTGATTCTTCTGTCAGAGTCTTCAAACACAAATAAAAGCTTTATGATTGTAATATCAGAAATCCTACCTATCTTAAAGCTTTATGATTCTAATGTCGGAAATCCTATCCATCGGGAAAATGGGGACGCAAAAGTACAACTTGATTAATCCTTAATTATGAATGTACTTCTGTCCAGAATTCTTGTCAACCCTCTGCAGATGGCTTCAAGTGCTGCTAGTTAACGCACACTAATTACTTCTTATGTTATCTCCTGGAATCCTTACATCGGCACTATGAAACCTATTATCCCCATTTTAGGGATGATACAACTGAGATTTTAGAGAGATTAAGCAATTTACTTAGTTACTCAACTAGTAAGTGGCATAATATTGCCATTTGAATTCAGGCAGTTCAGCTTCAGAGATAGCCTTAAACATATTTCAAATGTGTACGTATGCCCAAGGACAAAAACTAGAGGGAATATGCAAAAAATAAAATGAGCTCTTTGAAGGTACTGGAATTTGATACTTTCTCTATTTTTTCTAAAACATGTTTTGCTATAGTTTTTTCTTTTTCCATCATAAATACAAGACCAAAACAAAAACAAAAACAAAAGCATGATTAGAATGACCCCATTTGCTTTTACTTTCACGGTAGTTCTTCCTAAAGTCGTCATTGACTTCCAGGTATTGGTTAACATCTCCACAGACGAGTCAGTCTCTCAGTACTTCTCCTTTCGAGCCTGGAGATCGTTCCTCTTGAACCCTGGAAGTTCTCTTGACCAGTCGGAGACCTGCGTTCCCCATCCCTTCCCCTTTGGAAACCTCGCATTGTGGAGGAAAGCACGGAAGGGCAGGAACTTGGGAGCTGGGAGACGTCTCGGCTGTGTTTACCAGGCCTGCGGCGCTCTCCCGGGGCCCATCCCCCAGCTCCGAAACGCTTCCTGGAAATGTCCTCGTTATCACTTCCCCTCTCGGGCTGGGGGCTGGGAGCGGGCGGTCCCCTCCGCCCCCGGCTGTTCCGCCCGGGCTCGCTGGCTCGCAGGCGCCGCCGCGCAGCGCTGCTCAGACCCAGGCGCACGGGCCGGCAGCTCCGCGGGCCGCGCGCTCGGGCCCCGCCGTGACGCGCCGCCGTCCCCGCCCGCGCCTCCGCGCGCTTCGAAATGAGGGTCCTGGGTGGGCGCTGCGGGGCGCTGCTAGCGTGCCTCCTCCTAGCGCTTCCCGTCTCAGCGGCAAACTGTGAGTAATCAGTAACGTCTCCTCTCCCCCCAGCGTTGTCGACCGAACTGCGTGCCCGGTTAGCAGGATTTTCTTCCTTAGAGCCGCAGCCTCCTCGAAAGTTTCCAGTAAGTGCCACAGACGCGCAGCGGAGGGAAGCGGCCGTGGATCGCGCAGGCAAAGTAATGGTGGGGCAGGGTCGGTCCGCACAGTCGCCGGAGCGCGTTGCCTGCAAGACGGATGCCAGAACCTGGGTGACGCTGAGAATCAATCAACGGATGACAGCACCTGCACTCCCTTCAAAGCCGAAGTTCCCAGTCAGAGAACAAGGATGAGCAGACTCCGGGGTAGAGTAGGGAAGAAAAGGTGGCGCACCGTGTCTTCCCTTTGTCCCAGCGCCTGCCCCCAACCTGCGCCAGGCTCCTAAAACCTACCTCCCTTTTGCAATTTCTGGACTTTGAGCTTGATTTGCTTGTCTCACATGAACGAAGTGTTTTAAAATGACTGAGGGTTTGGATAGCAGTAGAAATATGTCACTTTCTAACCCTGAAATCAAAAGGACCGTTAAAGACTGTATTCTATTTCTCAGATCGTTTTGTACTGAGGATTTTTTTTAACGTTGTGTGCCAGTGATCTGAGGTGGTGGCATGAATTCTTTATACTTTATCTTTGTATTTCAGGTTCTTTATGTCTTTATGCCTGGATTCAAGACAGGATATTGAATTTTCTCTGAAAAATATATAAGGAATAGCAAAGCATTTAGTACGTTTTAGTGGTCAGTTACTTTGTTTTCTAAAGTCGTAAGTGTGTTTATTGAATAAAAATGCCCCCCCTCCCCCTTTTTTTTTTTTTTTTTTTTTGAGACGGAGTTTCGCTCTGCTGCCCAGGCTGGAGTGCAGTGACGCGATCTCCGCTAACTGCAGCCTCCCCTTCCTAGGTTCAAGTGATTATGCCTCAGCCTCCTGAGCACCTGGGATTACAGGTGCCCCCACGACACCGGCTAATTGTCTTGTATTTTTACTAGAGACGGGGTTTCACCATGTTGGCCAGGCTGGTCTCGAACTCCGTACCTCAGGTGATCCACCCGCCTCAGCCTCCCAAAGTGTTGGGATTACAGGCGTGAGCCACTGTGCCTGACCAAAAATGTCTTCTCGTGCTATGTTTTATTTGCAGGGATTGGAACCGAAGAGAGCACTCTGAATTACAAATAACTTTTAGGAGCCTGGAGCTCCAAAGTAAACTTTTCAAAGATGGAAATTTCAGAATTATATATCAATTTACTAACATTCCACTAGTTTTCTATTAGTTATCAAGATGAATGTGGTACTTTAAAAACCGAACTTGGGACTGAAACAGTTTTTGATCCTACATTAAAGAGCTACAATTGCAAAACTTCACCTTTCAAACCGATATCATTAAGCCAATTTGTAACTACCTGCACTTATTACCTATAGAGTTCATTAGGACAGGTAAATATTTGCTTCATAGCTAGAGTTTTGGAGAGGAGAAAGGCAAAGTAGCTTGCCACACTTAACTCCTTTTCATCATAGAAATTTGCTAGGCCTTTTCTTTTTGTAGAGATTGTTACATTTTGACTGAATCTAGGCAGAGGTAAAAATTATATGGGTTTGCGTAGGTTTATTATATATAAACATATGGAGAATTACACTTGTTATAAATTAATTCTTCCAGTATATCACATAAAGAATAGTTGGCCCCATAATGCCTTGGCTTACAAGTTTTTGATTGCTTAACTGGATTAAAAGTCATCTGTGGTTTACTGATGAGGAAATTTAGATGCAGATGTGATGCTTTTAACCCATATGATTTTATTTTATTTTATTTTATTTTATTATTTTATTTTTTTGAGACAGGATCTGGCTGTGTCACTCAGGCACAATCACAGCTAACTGACCTCCCCCTCCCTGGCTCATGGGAGCCTCCCCGCTTCACCTCCTGAGTAGCTGGGGCAACAGGCGTCCACCACCATGCCTGACTAATGTGTGTGTGTGGGGTGTGTGTGTGTGTGTGTGTGTGTGTGTGTGTGTTTGGTAGAGGTGGTGTTTTGCCATATAGCCTAGGCTGGTCTTGAACTCCTGTGTTCAAGCGGCCTGACTACTTTGGCTGCCCAAAGTGCTGTGATTACAAATATGAGCCATCGTGCCCAGGCTCCATATGATTTTAAATTTGAGATATAATTAGAGTTGTAAATATTTTATTTATAATTCATTGTGTAGTCCTGTATTTTTCTCTTTCTTCCTTTCTTTCTTTCTCTTTCTCTCTCTCT